CAAACTTATGGTTACCAGCAGGTAAAGAGGGTGGGAAGAGATAAATTGGGAATTCAAAAATTGCACCTCTTGGAAAGTGATGGAAATGTTAGCTACCTTGATTGTGGTTGTGGTTTCTTGGGTGCATACATCTATCAAAATTCATCAAACTATACATCTGAAATGTGTGCAGTTTATTATACAGGAACCATACCACAATAAAGGTGTTAAAAAAAAAAGTTGGCAAGAGAGTTTGAGAAGGTTCACCGTGTTACACAGAACACCTTCTGCATCACTCCTGGGCCTGGAGTTCTGTCTGACTCCTGAAGGAAGGAGTCAGAGTGTATAAGGGATGAGTTCCAAACCCTGGAGTGCAGGATGCCCAGGGAGATGGTACATAAAGACTCCTAGAAGACCATTCATTTAGAGACCAAGCCACAGTCTGGGACAAATTCAGGAAGGGACCATTCAAGGCCCTAGGACCATTTATAGGCAGCTCTCAGGTAGACCTCAGTCCTCCCATCCTTTCTCCTCCGGCCACCCCCCACCACTCTATCTACTCCCTAGTGTCGCACGAGCCTTCAGAACAGAGCCGCCTGACCCCAGCCACTCTGGGAGTCTTAAGATCTTTGTTCTTATTTGGACTCTGCAGGGTAGTCATCTGTGACTTCCAGCCACTCATTAAAATCTTCCCAGCTTTTGTTTCCTCATCTGTGAAATGGGCATGAGTGGTCCTTCTGCTTTTAAGATGTTTTCATTCTACTTTTAAGATTTCAGCTGCACCCCTCCGGTAAACCCCAAACTGCAGTGAAACCACCTGGTCCAGCCCCCGGCTGCCCCACCGTCCCATCCTCCACGAATGATGGCCTAGCCTCTTAGGACGAGATACAGGGTGAAACAACAACAGCCTTGAGACTTTCCTTTCAGACCAAGTACCTTCCAGGGAATTTTAGAAAGCTCTGTGCGCTTGCAACATCGTCCGTTCCGGTAAGATTATATAAATGTCAGATTTTGTTAGGAGTTCTTTCTGGTTTTTGCATAATTATTGTTATGCATCTGGATTACATGGATAAACTCACTCTCTGGTGAGTTTTATAAATTGTTTTGTGTATTTAGACAGATTCATAAATCTCCACCCAACAGTGTAAATCAACTGTAATTCAATAAATTTAAAAATAAACAAATCTCCAGCCACTCTAAAATCTTCCCCACATTAAGTCAAAATATCTATACTTAAAAATACCATACTGTGTAAGGACTTGAGGCTAATGTCCTCTAAAGCAAATCTGACCCACTCTCTATGTAGCTCCAACTGTGCATTTGAAATGTTCATTTCTTCTTAGAGATGCCTCTTGTCAAATCCTTATTTGTTTTTACAGAAAGGTTGAAAATAAAAGAAAGGAGAAGTCCACGTTACCACTGGTCCCGGAGGGCCTGGGTCTCCTGGAGTTCCAACAAACCCAGGAAGTCCAGCATTCCCCTAAAAAGGAGCAAAACCAGAGGAATAAGCCGCCGCCCCCACCGTGAACACAACGTGATTAAAACCAACAGACCCGCTCTGGGATTCCAAGGTTTCATACATCTAAGGTCCAGTGAGGCTGCTATGGACCAGCCAGTTTATGAACCGTGATCAGTGGAGTGAGGCTCAGAGGCTAGAAAGAGAAGGGGGTCTCTTTGAGGGAACCTTCTCTATCCCCCTACATACCTGACCCCTGGCAACAGGTGTACACACATGCACGCACACACACATCCGAACAGAGTTTTAAATCACTTCTCAATACTCCACTGAGGCTCCAGGTCATGTAATTAAAAGAATGCAGGAACTGTGTATCGAGGGCCAGGTATCAGGAGAAAAGAAACTCCCCCATTACCTTCAGGTCTTCAGTGTCTCAGAAAAAGTATATGCTAACCGCCGACTCACTGCCCGTCTTACAGGTATTTGAATGGATACAGCGTGATCTGTATGTAATTGGTGCTTTATCATTTTTTAATTTTAAACAAGAGAGAGAAGTCCTTCCGAGCAGGGAGCAGCCTAATCCTAGCCAGCAGCAAGCCAAGTTAGGCGTAGATCAGATTTTTCTTTATGTCCTTGCCAGGGTATGAAAACATCAATTACTGAGTGCCCAGAGGGTACACATCCTCTTTCCATTTCCCTTTTCTGCCCTGAACACTAGTCCATGGCCTTTTCCCAGAAGGCCTTCCTCTCTAATGTTTATCAGCTAAACAACCAAAGTTTTAGATATCCACAGGGTTACCCTTCCCCAAAAGGGCTGCTAATGATTGCGGCTCTTTAAGACTGACTCTTCCGAACCTAACAGAATGGGCTTTTCCTGGTAGATTCTCTAAAAAGCACAGTGAAAACATGGCTCAGAGTCCACCAAGATGGCAGCCACATTCTTGACAGTCTAACCTGGAAGAGTCTAGTCCTTGGAAGAATCTTAAAGAAACAGTAATGCTTGCCTTGCAGTTAAAGCAATACCCTTCCAAATGATGTTCAGATTTACCAAAGACAGCGATGCCCCCAGCTTTGGTTTTTTAAGGTTGATATTGCATAACTGAACCTCCAACTTCAATTTCCTGTCGTTATGGTTTGGTGAGCTGCATTTGCATTCAGAAGACGAAGGACAGCGGGACTAAGTAGGGAGTGACCAAGGAAGGTGCAGGATATCCGGAGGAGGACACGGGCTTCCTGCTAAGAAGTCCATTAACCCAGTGGAAGTACATTCCTGTGAGGAAAGTGTCATGATGTGACCTTCTATGGGTTTGGGGGCATTCCCTTGGTTCTTACCCTCTTCCCTCTGATTCCTTTTGCCCCCTTTTCTCCTTGGGGGCCTGGATCACCATCTTCTCCCTTAAAAGAATCAATAGTAGGACCTTGAGTGTAAAAAAAATAACAAGTGCAAACAAATGACACATTCTGCATACCGGAGTGCCAGGT